TTTATTTCATTTGCACGACAAAGGTCATCAAATTCAGATTTTAAATCTTTCACAGAATGCCCTACAAATTTCGGTAGTCTCCTTTCATTAGTAACTCTTTCCAAAATCTTCTGAGCCTTCTGTAGTTGCTTCATTGCTGCTGCTGTATCGGTGTCTTCTTCATTAGGATCAATGACACCAAGATTACATGAAGTGCTCTTGGTAATACCGTGGGAAAGTTTCTATTTAAAAAAGTGGCACAAATACAATTTTGTATGCTTACCAATTTCTTAGTACATAAATGGAGTATAAAATCCTCAACTGTGTCATCAATTTTGATAAAATCCTCATTTTTGTCCCAACAATCAAGCAAATAAGAGCCACCATCTACTTTAACAACATGATTGGCAATTATTAAGGCTTCTTTTATTCTAATGGAAATCAGCATTTCACTACGTGAATACAGCTATATACTTACAAGTACTCCACAATAACAACAGTTTTATGCTTGTACACTGTACGGTAAAGCAAATTTCTTGTGTGAAAAAGTTCATAAAGAGATGGAGCATCCTGTAATAAATAATTAAATATGCTAAATTATTTATCATTTTTACTTTATCTCTTGAACAAATGTGGTGAAATACTGCTCCATTTTCATCAGTGCATTTCATAATCTTTGCAGTTTGTGTAAAACGCCTGTAACAATTATAATAGGAATTCTTCTCACTGTACTTGTAATAATAATTACATACCTCCAATCAAAACTGTTGGGTAATCCTACACTGTGGGAATCACGAATAAAATAATCCATTTTATCAACGTCAATACCAGTGAAACCATTAGCAACAATCTGTTATATACAACCAAAATGGGCATGCATCATAATGATACTAACTTCAAAAAGAAAACTTCTGTCTCTATAAGTGTAGCCAGAAGCAAGATGCTGATCCCAAAATTCTTTCATTTTGTCTGCATTGCTGTTGTTTTTCTAAAATAAATTTATGAAATCTGTAAATTGACTAATAATAATGAATTTCGTATACCTCATAAAATTTATCAAATGTTATGATATCTTGTATTAACTTTACATGCTTATCCCAGTGATCACACCTAGTTAAATCATTCATTTCTTTGGTAGTCTTGAGGTTTTCCATTATTTGTTTAGTAATAGATGCTGATCTATACTCATGTTGCACCTTTTCCTGTAAATATGACATCCACATGCAATTCAGTGTCAATTAGTTTTGTGTGCATGCATGATTACCGCTTCCAGTTCGGGAAAAATTTCTTCAATGGCAAAATCATAAAGATGTGAATAAGGTCCATGTCCTGCAGTATCATCCCAACAACTTGAGTCAAATATAAATGATTTTAATTTGGCTTACCAACATCATGACAGAGTGCAGCAATCTGCACGCACATCTTCTCTTCCTTTGTAAACCAATTGCCATGCTCATTTAATGCTGTCACTAACTGACCAGCAATGTGACAAACCCTACAAAATAATAACAAAATGATATATTGTCTATATGATTTAGTTTTAAACAAACCCAATTGAGTGTTCAAATCTTGTGTGAGTGGCTCCAGGATACACATAGCACACACCACCTAACAAAGTGAGATATACATGTATCAATGCTAAGCAGTAAGCACATGTCAGTAGTCTACAACAAAACGCTTATAATTTGTTTACCTAATTGCTTGATCTTCCTTAATCTCTGGAATTCTGGTCTATCAATAATCTTTAACAAATATTTATCAAGTTGTATGGATCCATGGACAGGATCCATTATTGTACCAAACTCTACTGGTGGATCTAACTCTGGTTCAGACTGTACTGGTGGTGTAGCCATCCTTTCTTCTCTTGACACAAGAAGCTACTGTACAAGCTGACTGGATATGTTTACCCTATCACAACAGTGAATCCTTATAAGGAGATGTTATGAGTAAACCGAGGCTGTTTAAATTTCAAATTACAAACAACACATACAAATGGAGTAGAGTGATGTTAACACACATTATCATGTAAAGGTCAATAGAACCAGGTACAGCTCAACATATATCAGTATGCATGCAGTGATTGCAGCT